ATACTTCATCCTTCATAACTTTTTCTTTCTCTGACACTAATATCWTATCTTGTCTCATTTGATATACGTTAAATCAACATGACTGTAAGATGACCTTGAGGCTATTTACTTTTTTCTTGGTATTACGGTATTAAAACAAGATAAATGAGAAAAATGTCACATATTTGATTTTTTTAAGCAAAAATGCTACCTCTATTACTGGTGCTTATATAATACTATTTACATAATGATGATTATAATATAGTTTTATTGATATGATGATGACAAAATCTTCTTAAATATGATGCAATACAAGGTTGCGTGATAAATCAYTTTAATCGATTAATTCGAATTTGCCATTTATAAAGATTTAATTTTGGGAAAATCTGGATTTTTTTCCCACCAGTGTGCTCGTTGGGCTTCTGTAGTTCAGACGCCACACCACCTGTCCCTCAAAACGCTTGGTATACTACATGACAATATGGCAGCTAGCAAATAGGATCTACTCCCCAAATAAGGCACTGTTTCTTCAATTATCTAGAACTGGTTAGGTTTTGCAGCCTCACACTTGGAYCAACAAACACCTCACTGCAAAATCAGTTTGAAGGCTCTTGCAATAAAAAGCAGGAGTACAACAAATTTGTTTCAATACATGAAACAGAGGCACTCTTTTAAGTGGGAAACAAATTGATTAAAATCAAAAATCGAATTTGTGATTAAAAAACAGATTTTTTGGGCCATATCGCCCAGCCCTAATTACAATATTTGTACCTTTTTAATTTTGATGCACAGAATCACAGTAGGAGAGTGAGAGATCACTTATAAATATGTTTTAATGTACTTATGACATTAATTCTTCCTATATTTTGTAAGTTAAGGCTGCAATCCTTATTGAATCAAAAATATTGAAATTAAATTTAATGTCAAAACACTAGAAAGCCAGTAAGTCAAATAGACCTAAAATCAATTGTTGTAAAAGTTTGTATAAAACAGCAAAACATTAAGATTGATATGTGATCTAGAAAAGGGATGGAGTCTTCTAATGGCTAGTCAAACAAGGGCCTATTTTTGAAAATAATTTTCCAGATTTTAAAAAAACTCTTTTTGTCAGCTTCAACCTTACAGACTGAAATGATCAGAAAGTATAAAATACAAAACTGAATCTAATATTAAATTAATCAGTTACAAAATTTCTTCAACCACATATATAAAACATGTCAAAACTACAAGAAATTTTATGAAAACTTTATAAAGAGAAGTTGTAACATCTGTTGTCACATCAGGATATTTCTAAACATTTCCCAACCCCAGAAATTCAATTTTTAATCCTCCCAGACATAAAAATATTCATAAACAGGGTTAAGACTCATAATGCTTTCTTTCCACTCTTGCTTCTTCTTCTCTGTCCATTTATTTTTATTCCTCATCCAAAGGTTCAGTAGCTTTGTGTGATAATCTGAACGCTCCTGTTCTCGTTTCACAGGGTCTTCAAAGCGGTCTCCGATCCTGTATACTTTTTTCTTGGATGTAGGTTTTACATTCTCATTCTCAGTTGATGGTTTGGGTTCCTCAGGTGGAGAAGAAGTAGTGGTCAGTTTTTCTCCAGTTGTAGGCTGGGGAAATCCATTTTCTGGTTCCTCTGTTTGTGATGATGATGAGTCCAGATGTTCTTCCAGTTCAGCAACTTAAAGTAACTCCCCTCTCTGTGGTTCTGGTTCTGGTGGTTCAGCCACTTGCACATTGTTTTCCATTAGTGTCTCAGACAGCCTCAGACATCAGCTGATCACTCTCCAGTTGTTTGGTTCCAGCCGGAATTTGGTTCAAGAAATACTTCATATTTGAAGCTAACAGCTCCGATCCATGTCGGTTCAAAGTCATTCCATCAGACTTGAAGAGATGTTTTCTTTCCCAGAAGAGATCAAAGTTTCCCACAAAACTCACAGAATGGTCAGCACAGAGCTTTTCCAAAAAAACATTAAGAGTCAACAGTCTGCTGAACCTCTCAGCCCCTCCTCTGGCTGTAGGAACAGGCCTACTGCTGAACATTCAGCAGCTGAATGAAATCCTTCTTCAGGATTTCTGTCGGTTCATAACTTCATCACTTCCTGTATGAATGATGAGCGTATTCAGAGCTGGATACTCTGATGTGATTTCCAGAATCTTCTCTGRGAGGTCAGACACTTTATCAGCAAAACTCAGAACTTTGACTTATTCTTGTTCCAGAAGCCTCTGATCTCATTCACCATTTTATCTGTGATGATCAGCATTTCTTGATTCTTGAAAGACTCTCTTTGGACTTGTTTTGGCTTTGAGCTGGATCTGGATCTGGTCTCAGATCCCTTGCTGAGATCAGATAGGGAACTTTGTTCAGATTCAGTTTCTTCCAGTGATGTGAATCTGTTTTGAAGAAACACTGCTTCATTTCTCTGGCCATTATCAGGTGTTTTGATTACAGCCTGTCYCTGTTTTCTTCTCCTTGCTGGTGGAGAAAAAACATTTCTCTGTAACTCTGGCCATTCAATGTCATCTAAGAGCTGAATCCTTCCTGAGAGATTTTTTGGTCTGGCACAAAGAGAGTTCCATACAGTTTTACACTCAGAAGCAGCTTCCATCTCCTCTCCATGTTGATCTCTCATCTCAGCCTTCTCACCCATTTTAACACATGATGAGTYCTCCAAAGCATTCATCTCCTCCAGATGATGAATCTTGAGCTCCAACACCGTCATCTTTTGGAGAAGCTTGCAGAAATCCTCTTTGGAAAACAAAAGAGGCATCTTGAAGCTGTTCTGTACTCACTCTCAACAGCTGATGTTTCAAAAATCTTCTCAGGTTCTTCAWCAGCCAAAAATAAAATCTAATGTTCTCTGTTTATTCAAGTTCACACATCACGTCGGGGTCACCAAATTGTTGGAAAAATATGTGTTGTTCAAAATGGTATGTCCGAATAAACAGGATTCAGCTGGATTTCTTGTTAAAACTTTYTTATCTTCTGACTCCAATCAGGTACATTCAGCGCTCAGCAGCACAGGCCTCAGCATACAGCCTTGGGCCAAATCAAAACAAACATGGGAGTTCTGCTCTGAGCAGACACTCTGCAAAACTCTGACAACTTCTTTTTTACTATAATAATGAACTGAGCTTATAATGTACATCTCTTCCTGGTTACATCCCAGGAGGTGTTACCTTTTACGTCAGACGTCAGAATGTCACTCATTTTTGTTTAGGCTAAGAGAAAGAACACATGGTAACACATCAACTCTTTGTCAGCTTCAACCTTACAGACTGAAATGATCAGAAAGTATAAAATACAAAACTGAATCTAATATTCAATTAATCAGTTACAAAATTTCTTCAGCTAGTCAAACAAGGGCCTATTTTTGAAAATAATTTTCRAGACTTTTAAAACAACTCTTTCTCAAAAATAGTGTACCACTGTGAAAAACACTACATTAGCTTATGTTAAGACGCACACCTTTGCAGTTTATTTTGCCACTGTCTTTTCAAACAAACAAAACCTGTGGACAATCATTATTCCATTTCTTTGAAACCTTCTGTTATGTTGTCAAAAGCTGAGTTTAACATTTCCTAATATACAGGGCCAGCCTTAGGCAAATTGGTGCTCTATAGGCAACAATTCAAGTGGCACCCCTTGTACAGTTTTATAAACCTCACTGCCAATTTACAAACAAACAAACTTACATTTTATCTTTACAAACTAAATTGTCCAATTAAAATAGTTAAAAAAACAATTCATTAGAAAAAGTCTACCTCCTACCTGCCAACGTTTGCTGACTGCAATGAGGAACACCTTCATGCTAACAAGCAGATGTGGACTGAAGTTCTAGGTGGCGTCCAGGGGGAAATCTCCCTTGGAAATTTTTAAAAATCACCGAAACCAAAAAAGCAGGCTGGTAACTCTGCAGAGCAAGTTGCATTCATAAACCAGAGTAACCAGTGATCACTCTACAGACGAAAGCATGAATACTCTATCTTTTTAGCCCCCCACTTGTGCCTGTAGCATTTACCTATATTACCTATGCCATGGGTTGGCTCTGCTAATTAATCATGAGTAACCATGCATCATTACTGTGTTTTATCTGTCTTGGTATTTTCAGTGATTAATACAGAATACTTAGAAATTAACGTTTTTTTWAAATACCTGTATATGTGATAAATCAATATGTGAAAACAGGGGAAAGTGTCATCAGACCATGAACTCACCAATCCCTGTGAAGCTGAATAGGGAACCAGTATCTGCAATCACTCCTTAAAATTTTGTGGAATTACATCTCAGAAAAGTGTAAGCTATTACWGTTGCTAAGTCGTATACATCCCTTTGGCCTTGTAGTGTAAATCTTGCAGGGAATGCCTTGTCACAGCCACTACRGGGGAAGTGGGAGCTGTGAAATAGCACTGTGTCACTGGTGACACATACCAATGACATTAACAGCATAGAYGGGAAGTCATTATTCTTTCCTAGATAGCAAAGTTAGATAGCTAGGAGTGTTGATGGTTGCTGGGAAACAGAAAGGGGGTTAACAAGCAGTGAGGACTGACTTGTGATGACCAAGCAGCTCTCTCTTCCTAGTTAGACCATCTCTGCATTTCTCTCTTGTCTGATTAGCATTCTCTGATTCCCTCCATAAATCCAGCGGTGCTCACGAGCGTTCGGCATTGACTTGGTAAAGCTGCTGAATGTGTCATTATTACTAACTGAACAATCACAAAGCAGGGTGAGGGAGGCGGAGGCAAAATGAAAAAGATTAAAAATAGCTCAAAGGATATTAGTGGCAATAAAGGCCATGTCTATTAAAATGCACATATTTCAGCACGTMTAGTAATAGGATTGGTTTATTTTCTTTGTGGAATTGTTTCATTGACTCAGCTTCTTTTCTTCTCTTACACTCTGTAGCTATAACACAACCTCTGTCATGTAGATAATGGGTAAAATKATGATTCTCCTTACCTATTCAGTACAATAAATTAAGGTTTATTCTCCTTGTGTTGTTCTTTACCAACAGGAACTCGACATACTGCATGAAGGTGTCCATGTCTTTGACTGTGGCTGAAAARGACACAGACCTTTGTTACAATTCCAACATGAGAAAACATGAAAAGGCCGAACTCAGTAAGAGCAAAGACATCCTCTGTCCTGACATCGATGACTACGTTGAACCTGGCAAAGAACCTGAGATTYTGTGGCACAAGGTAGGCTTATTAGCTGGTAAAAACATGAAACTTTGTGTCATTTGTAATCATGACTTGTGTCACATTTTGTGTAAATGTTGCTGACTTTATTTTTAGAAAATCAATACGGAGAGCTTCTGTTTCAGTGATTATACAACTGGGAAATATTCTTCAATGGTTCATTGGTTTGTTTTTGTCTAATTTCTTGGCTGTTTAAGTTTAAAGCCTTGTTGGAAATGCAGTTCCAAATCACTTAGGCAGATTATGTATGGAGGCAATTACTTAAGCAGTGCTCAGAACATTCCACGATATTGTGAGAGTCATCTAGAGAGAACGAGAACTGCGCAGAGGGCAGCCACAGCGACYACTTTCATAATGAGCACAAAACTTCAACGAGAACAGAATTGTGTTATGCCATTTTGTGCCCCGTGGAAAGAGTGGATGCCCTCCAAATGCTCCTGCACCCTGCTTCATCCCCCTCCTCACTCACCTAAGTTCTTGTCTTTCCCAGGTCAGACACGGCCCGCAGACAACAAAAGTGCATCCCAACCAAGAGTTTAGGCCAAACTAATCACAAGCAGATCAGCAGTAGATTAACTGGCCGGACTTGACCTCTATTTTTTCTAGAATTCAATTACAATCTGGGTAATGACTGGGAGAGCTGGGACCCAGAGTTATTTGGACCTCTGCGGAGACGCTGTGATTGAATTCAAAGGTTGCCGGGAGCAACAATGGAATAGAATACGCAGAGCCGCCGCTGTCCCCAGCAGAGTGCCAAGGAGCTGGAGAGAGGATCATGTCACAGAGTTTCTCACTGTGCTTGCACACGGATACTCACACATTCACACAGACACAGAACAAACACACTTATTTCGCCAGGAGAGACCTCTGTAAATAAAATTCTATGTCCTCTGTGTCCCGAGTAAAGTATTGAATGGAGAATATTCAGTTCAGCGCAATAAATCTTGATCAGATAAGTTGGATTATGTTTTTTTTTTATCATTTTACAATACTGACTTATGTTGTTAGAGTGGCAAACTATGTATCCCTGAAACTATCCAGTTTTTAACATTTTGTGGGTTTGTAAACCTTATGAGTCCTGCTTATGTTACTTSATATACAATACATAAGTTAATGAAGCAGTCTTTTTTGCACCTCTGAGGAAAGMGTGCTGCAGAAATGGTGAGAAATGTGCAAAAGGAGAAGATCATGCTTCCTCAAAGAGAGCATTTACATAAATTAATTTACAACAGACAAAATTGAAATACTACAGATTCTTTGTTCATGTGAATACATTTCAATTTTGTCTTTTGCGGATTGCAGATGTATAGCCTTTWAAGTTACAATAACATTTATTTTACACAAGACAGCTCCTAAACACTTAATAGTCAACAATATATGAGTAAATTCAAGAATTTTAAAAAAAGGTTGCCAGATTAACAATATTACCAATAATCTCAAATCATACATAACCCTGTTTGARGTGCCAAGGATTTGTCCACATTCATATTTTGCACAAGCTTTTTTACTCAAAATGCAACTTATTAACATTTTAGCACTTAGGTTAACATCAGCAAATATTCATGACCACTTTATTTATTAGTGTTAAACAACATAAAAAATAGAGAAAATAAATCACAACGTAAGCCTTTTTTCAAATAAACACAGCATGAGAGTTGAGACAAAAGCAGTTGATCTCAGGTAAATGATCAAACCGGTTTGCACACTGCTATTACTACTACAATGCTACATTCAATTTGCACCAAGATGTTTAAAGTTCTAAATAAAGTCTGAAAGACTAAAATAACTGATTAAATCAGAAATCTGATTTGAATGACAAATGTGTTTCACTAGCCTTTTATGTCAAAATCCTACATCATGTCTTCCACCTTGCATATAAAACATAATGATAGTTGATAATAAACCATTTATTTGCACTTTTGTTTGTTCGTTTTTCAAGAACACTGTGAAATTTACTGTTCTGTCTCTGTCAGGGAGCATGTTGCTACAACAGTTGAGTGCATGAAATGCAGAAAAAAAATATTATCAGCTTATATTGCTAATGGCAGTTAGCTGGGTCACTAATATTTATTATTATTAACCTTTATTTAACCAGGCAAATCCTGTGGTGATTACAGATTTCTTTTGCAAGGGAGGCCTGGGCCAGAAGGCAAACTCTTGTACATGTTTTGTCTGTGGGAAGAAACGGGAGTACCCAGAGAAAACCCACGCAAAGACGAGGAGAACATGCAAACTCTACACAGAGAAACACTTGGTCCAAACAGGGGCTCCAACCCAGGACCTTTATGCTATGGGGCATCAGTGCTAACCACTTAGCCGTTGTGCTGCCCACTCAATAAAACAAAATACAAATTCAGTTGATGTACTGCTTTTTAACTGAAGTGCCAAATTTAGGTTTATATGAGGTAAAAATACACCATCATTAATTAACTTTTAACTATAAAAATGTCATGAATTATTAAATCATTCCTCAAAAAATATTAACAGTATTTTATTTCTAACATAGCGAGTTTTTAGGCTAATTTTAGACTTTCTTAAATGGAAACTATTGCTCATAACTGATTGATTTTTTTTCTTTTGTCCACTGCCTTTTTATATCTGTTGCAGCTGTTTTATCATTGACCTCTCAAGTGAAGGCTCTGGTATCTTTTTATAAGCATTTTTACCTGCCTGTACTTTCTCTGATACACAGGAGTGCCATCCAAAACAGTGGCGGGCCAGTATAATTCAGAAGAGAGACATTTTGTCCATTCAAGARGTAAAGGAAGACGATATTGGGAATTACACCTGTGAAGTCCAGTTTGGTGGTTTTGTTGTCAGAAGGACGACAGAACTCACAGTAACCGGTAAGAAGCTGAAAATTGTGTTTTTGTGTGTCATGGGGACATTTTACAAATTCTGTAAATAGTACTTTATGTTGTGCGAATGAATAGGGGACCCCTGAGTTTAAACAATGGGTTGCTCCACACGTTTTGTACACACACATACACACGCAGACACACCGCTGAGTACTGTGATGATGTCCTGCTGCTGTGTTAATTGTTGGGGGAGGWTGAAAACTGAGGTCTGGCCTCTATCCCTTCTTCTAGTTCAGCACTTTCCAGGCAGCCAAGCAGTGTTGAAATATTTAAGGCTGTAGGCTAAAGCCCTCTACCCTGAGAGCTAAAAAGCCTAGACCAAGGTCAAAATATTTTTTCCATCTCTCTTTCTCTCACTTTTTTTTACCTGTTATAGTTACAGGGTGGGTACAGACAAGGATGCATTTATTTGTCCAAATGAGTGAATTCATTAGTCAAGACTGTAGCACAGCTCTAAGCTTGTGTGTTCTCTCTGGTCAAAGGCCGTAATCTTGATTTATCGATGGGTTTAACAGAACTCCTGGATATGTTTAGGGTTCTATCCTTTGATTTGCACTAGGGCTGGGCGGTATGACCTCAAATTCATATCACGGTATAAATTGAATCCCTTCACGGTAACGGTAAAAATCACGGTATAAAATTA